GGTGATGGGTATTAAAGAGGGCATGTACTGAATGGAGCACTGGGTGTTACACGCAAACAATGAATCATGGAACACTACATCAAAAACTAATGATGTAATGTATGGTGATAAACATAATAAAATGAAAATAATAATAATAAAAAAAATAACCTCGGTTACATTAGTCCCAGGTTGTAGCTGAGGAAACTGAGGTCCAAACAGAGTAAGTAGCTTTCTTGAGTCATACATGGTTAGCAAATGGTAGAGCTGGGTTTGGAATCTGGCTTTGTATGATTCTGGAAGTCACTCTCTTCGCACTAAGCTCTACTGGTTCCTCTTCTTGGCCTCCACAAGTCTCCACATTTGAGCTACAAAATGGGACTAATCACACATGACTTACCTCAGCATACTTTCCAGTCCCCTGTCTGTGTTGTAAGGAACAAATGAAAATAAGTATGTTCCAGTTACTCCTGATGCATTATAAACCACCCCAAAACTTAGTGGCATAAACAACCGTTTTATTGCACTCATGGATTTTGTGGGTCAGGGATTTGGGCAGGGCATAGTGGAAATGGCTTTACTCTATTCCATGATGTCTGAGGCTTCAGCTGAGAAGATCCAAATAGCTGGAGGGGAGTCAGCAGCTAAGCAATGAAATTATCTGAAGGTTCCAGGATGACTCAAATGTTGGACTCAGCCGGGGCTGTCAGCACACCTGCATGTGGCCTTCTTATGTGGCCTGAGATCCACACAATACGGCAGCCCCAGGGTAGTTGGACTTTGTCCCTGGTGGCTCCAGGCTCTAAAAGTAAGCATCCTAGTGAGAAAGGCAGATGCTGCATTGCCTTTATGGTCTAGTCTGGGAAGTCACATAGCATCACTTCTGCTGAATTCTGTGGGAAGAAGCAGTCACAAGTCTGCTCAGATTCAAGGGCAGGGGAAATAGATTCTGTCCCTCAATGGGAGAAGTGTCATTGGATTTTATGGCTGTTTTTTTTTTTTTTTTTTTTTTTAAACCACCACAGGGTATACAAGTCCAAGGGAAGTATAGGAGAGTATACTGGAATAATTCCTTGCTATAATCAATGGCATATTTGTTTTTAGTCAGGGCGCTCTGCCTTGCCAAGCATAAAACACTCATGTCTAAATAGTGTTGAACATGAACTGGATTTGGTCACGAACAGGCCTGTCTTGCTTTTTCCTGAAGAGAAATGCCTAAACTTTAAAAAGCTCCTTTGGCAGCAGCAGTGTCTGCACTAACAATAAAACATCTGAGAGATGTTGGAAATTCTGTAACCTGTCCAATTGCTTGCGGGTCATGAAGACCTGGCTTTGCCTGCCAGGATGGGGGAGGGAAACAGTAAAGGGCTCCAGTTCTTTAAGGATCAGATTTTCAACCTTTCTTTTAAAGTTAAGTACTTTTAATTGAACGAAATTAAAAACAGAAAGCCTCTGTTTAATTTTCTTTTCAGAAACAGGTTTCCATAAGCTGCTATGATTTATTTATTTTCTTCATTTACCAAGTTTAAATTATTCAGGGGCTGTGTTTTGGTGCTTAATTAGGCAAAGCATTAATGACCCTGGTGAAAATGAGAGGGTTTGGCTGTGCTTATGTCAGGCCTGTTCCTGTTAGATTCTATTCTATTCTATTAAAAACTATTGACCCAAATAAATTGTCTGAGATTCATCACTGCACCACCAGGTGGGACCCTGGGCTTGGGGCGTAAAGTGACCAAGGACTTACATCATCCTGCTCACCATTTTTTGAGCCTGGTTCTTTAAAGGAACATGCACCAATTGCAAGTCAGAAATAAAGGGTAGTGCCTCAACAAATTCAGAGACTTGTATTCATATTGCATTTATTACTCAGAGGTGATGGTGGATAAAGATGGAAAAAAAAATCAAATTGCAAAAGTACCTTTTCTCATATGAAACTATTTTTCACTGCTTACTTTTTCTACATGCCTTTCTCAAAACAATGATGTGTGGGAGAAAGATGGAATTTGGAATTAGGCAGACACGAATTCATATTCAACATAATCATGTGAATGTAGATAATTTACTCAAACTTTCTAAGCCAGTAATCTGGTTATAATAAAATAGGGGAAAAGAATACCTGCTGTTGTAAGGATTAAATGAAGTATGGAATGTCAAACCCCCACTGCAAAGCCTGGCGCCATGTGACACATTAACTGTTGGGTGGCTTTACCCACTCTGCATCTGCAGTGGCCCAGCAGTGCTCCACACAGATGATGTGGACTTGAACTTCTTGTGGCCTGAGTATTTCCAAGGCTGAACTTAACTCACTTTCATCCCCTCAGCCAGGTTGGTGCCTTTCTCCCAAGCGAAACAGAGTTATGAGTGGCATTTCAGAGACTTGGGAAATAGGGAGAAGAGGGGACATTTTATATTTATTGGACATTGACTATGTGCCAGGCAACATACTGAATATTTCACATACATTTTCTCATTTGCTTCTTGTAATGACCTTATGAAGTAGGTGTAACACTTCTTAATCAACCTCCCACCCCCTGCCCCAAACATAGCAGCTTAATACAACAACCATTTATTATGTTTTATGAGTCAACTGGGCAGCTCTGATGTGGGCCAGGCATGGCTGATCTTGCTGGGCTTGCTCATGTAACTGTGGTCAGCTGGTGGGTAAATTGTTGCTGACCAGCTTGGGCTGGTCTTGGCTGGTTGGACAGCTCAGCTCTGCTCCATATGGTCTCTCACCCTCCTGGGGCTTACCCTGGGCTTGTTCTTATGATGGTGGCAGGGGTCCAAGAAAGGAAAAGGAAACATGCATGTGACTCTCCTACTTGCCAAAGCAAGTCATATGGCCAAGCTCTAAGTTGGGGTAGGACAGCATATCCAAAGGGAATGGATTTAGGGAGACATGAACAAATGGGGGCCACTAGTGAACTTCATCTCCCTCAAAAGGCACTGTTATTAGCCCCGTTTGTAGAGGAGATGGAGGCTGGTAATACTGTGCCTCTTGGTCACTGGTCTGCTCCCTGTATCTCTCTGTTGTGTTCTTTCTTGGTCATCTACTACATGGGGTGGGGATGTTTTCCAATCAGCTGTATTTCCTCTTCTTTCTCATTATTTAGTCTGCATTTGAAATCTCATGTAAAATTTTTGGGACTAACCAATGGGTCCTAATGAAACACTGTAGAATGATATCAAGGGACAGTGCAGGTAAGTCATTAAAGTAAGTCTAATGGTTAGAGAAAATGAAGGAGAGGCAAATATGTAACTTGATGGAATGTAAATGGAAGAAAATGAGACAAATTTATATTTCTTCAGTATTTGCTGATTTCCTTGATTTTGCCTGGGTCAGCTTTCCCTTCTCCTTGCCATCCTTTCTAGATCTGGATACTGAGTCTGAAAAAGGCAAGATTCTGGCATTGGCCTAGGGCATTTATTAGCTCTTTGATCTTGGGCAAGGAAGTTACCTAACTTGCCTGGAGCCTCTATTTCCTCATGTGTGAAATGAGAATAATAGCACTGATGTTGGTTGTGTAGGTTAAAGGAGACCTGCAGGTGAAGAGCCCTGCCTGGTCTGAGCCTGTCTGTGGCCACTGTGATTCACTGCTGCCCCTCCCCCCTTTGCCAAGCACCTCTTGGTGCCTGGAAACGCGGAAGAGTTGGCCTTCCCAACTGCTGTGGCTCTGGGTGAGCTGCCAGGGTGGTGCAGAAGGGCTGAGCAGCATGAGGGCTGTTAATGGATTTTATGGCTTTGTTGAGCACCCCAAACAACAGTTATTAATTATAGGCTGCTGTTTCGACACTGTTGCAATATATACATTTTGTTAATTGATTTGTATAGGCTCAGATCTAGCAACATAAAGAATGTGCAGGACCATAACACTTACAACCGCCCTCTCTCGCTTCTCAGATGGGAAACAAAGGCTTTGAGGAGAGGACAGACAACTCTTTTTGGCCATTGGACCTTTAATGTCTAGTCCAGTGCCCAGTGGCAGGGTAATACAACCTGTCTAGGTCCTCAGTAAATGTGTTGAATCAATGAATAAATAAAATAGAGAAATATAGAAACAAAAGTTATTTATTCCTTATGAACCCTGAATTGCGTGTGATATTGGCACTGCAGATATGCAAATATGGTCAAGGACTTATTCTGAGCCATTAGTTAATGTTGAGTACTTTTATGAACCTTGCGTGGCTTTGGGGCGGTGGGGGGTCGACAAGAGGTGCGTGGCCCCTACTCTCAGGGAAGTGACAATTACTCAATGGCATGAAATGTTACAAAGCATGACGTCAGGTGGCCTGGGCTTAGATATGTGGAGTGACAACAGAAAGGTGGTAACTTCTTGCCTAGGTACCATACTGCAGGGAAGTTTATGTCCCCACTGCTGGCCCAGAACCCCAAATTTGCTTTTCGGATCTGGTCCATCAGCCTCTGAGAGCAGCGGCTGCAGCTGCACCTGCCTCTCCAAGATGGTGCGGAGTCTGGCCATTGCCCTCCAGGTCCACGGAGATTTACCCTGCCTGGCAAGTCCAGAGCAGCGCTCGCGTTCTCCAGCTCTCGCGTGTGCCTGGCGCCCTCCCCAGACCAGGCGGCACAGAGCGTCCGTCCAGACGCCCGGCCAAGGGCAGGACCCGCAGCACGCCCGCCCGGCCCTCCGCACCGATGTCAGCTCCAAGGGCGTGGCAGGGCAGGGTCCCCTGTGCCGCAGCAGACGACGCGCAGGCCCCAGGTGACCACTTTCTGAGGGGCCCCGCCGTCTCCTGAGGCAGTTATTTGGGGAGCCGGAGCCGGAGCCGGGGCGCGGGCGGGAGGGCTCGCCGCAGCGGCCCGCCGCGGTCCTACCGGAGCCGAGTCCTGCCTGGAGCACGAGCGCCCGGGAGCGTGAGGACGCTGGAGGAAAGTTGGGGGTCGGGGCCGCGGAGCCGGGAGCGCGGAAGCAGGGCCGGTGTCCGCGTCTCATGAATATGCAGGAGCCACCTCCCTCCCCCCGTGACGTCACGGGCCGTCCCGGGGTGAGCGCCGGAGCCGCTCCGGGTCCGCGCCAGTGAGCGCGGCTGCTGGCGGCGAGCGAGCGAGCGAGCGGCGCGGCGGCGGGCAGCGGAGGCCGAGCGCGGCGGCATCCGAAGCGCACCCAGCAGGCAAAGCGAGGCAGCCGCGGCCCGGCGGGCACCCGCAGGCGAGAGCCGGCGCGGGCAGCAGGCGGCGGCGGCAGCTGGTTGGCGGCGGCGAGGATGCTGACCGGGAGGCTGTGCTGGGTGCCGCTCCTGCTGGCGCTGGGCATGGGGAGCGGCAGCGGCGGCGGCGGCGGCGGGGGCAGCCGGCGGCGCCGCCTCCTCGCGGCTAAAGGTGGGTGCTGGGGAAGTTTCCTCCTCTCCAAAGAGGGAGGCAGGGCGGGCTTACGGGTGCAAGCGCGGGGACCCGGGCTCACGCTAGAAATGCACGCCCTCCCTTGCCGCAGCTCCCGGCCTCTGTGCGCTCGGGATCCCCGAAGTGAGCGCCCTGCGCCCCGGACCTGAAAGGCTCCACCTGCAGACGCCGGCCCTACCCTGGGCGGGGTCCAGGGACGCAGGAGAAGGGGAGGTCTGCGGAAGTCTGGACAACTTTGGGGGCTGTGTGTGGCGGGGTGGGAGCGTAGTGAGGGCGTCGCGGGCCCCAGCCCGGGGACCGCTTGAGCTGGGCTCGGGCGCCGGGTAGAAGAGACAGTTGTCTGCTCCTGCCCTGAGGGAGGGAATCGGCGGCGGTGCCTTCAAAGGACGGAGCAGAGCGCTTCTCCGGCTCGGAGGTGGATGGAAACTTGTAGGCTCCAGGGAAGCTCCCCCGCCCCCGCCCCGGCTCGCCTCAGGCTCCCCCAGGGCGGCTGTGGCTCCCCTGGGAACGCGCGCCCTCCCGGTGGGCCGCGGAGTCCGGAGAAGTGTGGGATGTGACGCCCCCCAGCTCCCCGCCGCCTCTCCGACTCCGCTGGGGCCCACCTGGCGCCCTTCCCCCGCCCACCCGGTGCGGTGGGAGATGCTGACTTCCCCGCTGCTCCCTCCCAGAAGGCTGCAAGGTCCTGGTGAACGCCCGGCGCTGTAAGGAGACAGTAGGCTGGCGGGCAGCGTACTTTGACAGCTGTCTGGGTGCGAGGGGAGGGCGCTGGGGTAGGGGCGACCGGAGGGCGGATCTGAAAGAGAAGGTCACGTGCAGGACGGTGCGGGGAGGGGCGAGGGAGGAGCAGAGAGGGAGCCGGGTGAGGGTGGGCGCTGGGGAGGCAGTAGCAGATCTCGGCTGGAGCGCCCAGCTTAGTGATAACTTGTTGATTCTTTGCGCTGTTGACGAGCAGGGTATGCGCTTGGTTTAGGAGCTGTGGCCAAATCTGCCACGTAACGAGGAGGGGGGAACGTGATCGCTGGAATCTTGTCTGACCATCATCAGGGGCCGGAGGGGTTTGCACCTGTAGATAAACAGGTTCCCTATTAGAGGCAACCTGATTTTGCAAGCTGGCTTTGAATTATAGCTTACCAGTGGCTCAGGGAAGGAATGTATACCAGGTTTAATTACTCTTGGAGGGTGAGGAGAGTAGATAGTTTGCCTCCTTTGGATCTCAGGGATTCTTCTCCCACAACTTGTGAATGATAAATTTGAGCAAAGAATAGGAGAGTTTCTGCTTATTCTCTAACCTTACATTGTTGTTGACATGATTTTGAAACTATTTCATAAGCAGACATCCTGTTTCTTTTCAACAATTCAGCCCCCCCCCCCTTCTTGAGAAGCAGTTTCTTTTTTGAGAAGACAAGGAAAAACTCATTATGAAAATATTTTAAAGTGTGGTAAAGGAGTCGCTGATACGAGGGATCATTCTGAGAGACTGTTGTTTTGGTAAAAACAAGAATTAAAAACAATGAACTTCCAAACCTTTTGCCGTCCTTCCCCTGTAGAGACACTTTGTTTAAATAGGCAAATGACATGTTTTTGAAGATTTTTAATCACTTTGTAGCAAAATAAATGGTATATCTATAAGCAGATGTCTGCAAACAGGGGAGCTCACAGCAAGTGAGGAAAAGAGAAAAGCTTGTTTGGGTAGAGGACCTGGTGTGCTTATGCATTGCAGGGTTCTCAGGTCAGAATAGAAAGCTTTGCAGAGATAAGAGAGAAAGATGAAAAAGAAAAAAATCCAGGATCCCAGTGATTCATATGTATATGTACAATTATGTGCATTTTAGTCAACACTTTTCATCTTCCTCACTTAGTATATACTCATTTTGTGGTGAAAACAAGCCATTTGTCTTTCCAATGTAAAAAAGTTGATTGGCCCTAGAGGGGTGAGAGTTGTCTAGCGAATCCCCCTTCTTCCTTTTTTCCCCTTCCAACCACTGGGGGGCTGCAAAGAGCGCTGTTAGCTGCATTAAAAAAAAAAAAAGAAATGTGTAATAGTTGATCAAAACAGAGACATTTATAATGACAGTTTAGTCGGTATTTACAGAACTGACTTTCCTTATTACGATGCAGTTGCATTTTACATTCCCAAATCTCACATCATCTCTGAAGAACATGAGCAATAGTAAGGGTATGCTTCTTCCTGCCACTGCCTTTGCCGTTTCTAAGGTTCGTATCATGATTACTCCTGTCACTGAAAAAGAGAAAAGTCAGGGCGACATGTGAAGAAGATTGAACAAAAAATAGCTTTCTTCCTGCATACAATTCTGCACTCACGTGTAGAAGAAAATTGGGAATGTGGCTTCAGGCTGCCCGTCAGAGTTGAACACGCCCCCTGGACAACTGCGTGGAAAACATACCTCCGCAACTTTGGGCTCCTGTACGACGACGTTGTGGCTGTGGGGCATGGCTCGTCTTGCCTTTGTATTCCTTGCTTCTTGCTGCAGGGAATTGAGCCTCTAATTCCATACAACTGTTTGGGGTTTTCACAGAATCAATGAACTCTTAGTGCAAACATATTCCCAATTTCTGAAATAATCCAGTGGCCAGGCAGTTATTATAACAACTTCCCTTTACTTTTCTCTATCTTGGCTATTTAAAAAAGATGAACACTTCTTGGATTCCTTGAAAAGACCAGATTCCCTTCATCCTGAATCACCTCTGGTTACCAGGCCAGGATGTGCTCATGGATCCTGTGGACCATGTCTTCAGGCTAGAAGGTCACCTTCCTCAGCCTAATCCCTTCTGTTACTCATCCCCTGGTCAGGCTTGCACAGGGCCTCCCCTAGGAACCTTTCCCCATGGGTCTCCCAGGCTGGGCACCCCCAGAACACTGTGGCTCCCCCTTTGGTGTGCCTGTGCCCCTTGTCTTGCCCCGGCACTGCTCTGTGAGCCTTGAGGGCTGGAATCTCACCTTGACTTTCCCTGCCTCCCTAGGGCCAAGTGGCTGCCTGGTATTCAGGTGTAAGCTGAGCAGTCAGTGGTGATGGGCTTAGTGATTCTACCTGTTTGCAGTCACAGTGCTCTTGTTTCTTGACGTAGATGTTTGAGATGTTTTCTCCTCTCCTCTATAAAATAAAATTTGGACTTAGAGAAACCCGGGTTCTAATCCTGGTCCTACTGCTTCCTGGCTAGATTATCTTGGGTAAATTAGCTAAGCTTTTTGAGCCTCAGTTTCCTTATCTATAAAATAGGGATACAAAAAATCTACCTTGCAAAGCGGTTGTCAGGAGAGGGTTTAGAAATCATTTAGCCCTCTTCATGGCATGCAAATGGCACTAAATACATAGTGACGGTAATTATTGGTTTCATAAACACTGGGCTCTAGGGTTTGAGATTTGGTGAAATCCCCTTTTCTGACCTCTTGGCAATTCAGTAGCTTTGTTCATATCTTCTCGCAGCCCAAGCTCTGTTCTCTCTTTGTCTCTTTCTTTGTATGTGCATGTGTGGAGAAACACCATGTATAAATGGAAGTCCACATTCACACACATTTGGCTTGAACTGTGAAAACATTTACTACTTTCACTAGTCTACGGACGCCTTTGAGACCAGGACCCCCTTCCCATTCATTCAGAATCCCTGGCACTTAGTGCAGGGCCAGCCCAGAGTAAGGACTCAGCAATGTGTGCTGTATAAGTAAATAAACATGTCTCCGTGGGCCAGCTCTGGGAGGTGCGGGGCTTCTGGTCTCTGGAGGAAGAGCATCTGTGGTTGATTTGGGCTGTTAGGAGAGGTCCCTGCCAGTTAGCACTTTCGTCTCAGCCCTGCTGTTCCGGGAAGCAGAGAAGCATTTTTGTTTTGCTTAAGACAACCTCTCTGATGATGCCTGTTTACATGGAAGGGGGTAACCCAAGGTTTGATAACGAAATGGCAGCTCGAAACAGATGATTTTTATTATTTGTTGTCTGGCCCACCACTAACTGGACCCTGTGGAAATGTTTCCATTGGTGTGGTAAGTTTGAGATGGTCCAGGAGAGGACTGAATTGGGAGAAGGCTGCTGAGCTCAAGACGTGTACTGAGTAGGACAGATGATTGCCATCTTAACCAGGTGGGGCTGCTGTAACGAAAATACCGGGGCCTGAATGGCTTACAAGCAATCGCAATTTATTTCGAACATCTGGAGGCTGGTAGTCTGCGATCAAGGTGCCGGGGGTTGGGTTCTGGTAAGAGCCTCTTCCAAATTGCAGACTCCTGACTTCTCATTGTACCCACACAGGGTAGAGAACAGAGAGAAGAAGCAGGCTTTCTCCTGACTTTTATTTATAAGAGTACTAATCCCATTGATGAGAGCTCCACCACCATGACCCCCTCTTTCCCCAGTCACCTCCCAAAGACCCCGCCTCCTCATGCCATTACTTTGGGGTTAGGGTTTCAAGGTATGAATCTTGCAGGGACACAAACATTCATCTATAACAGTCATGCTATGGACTTTGGGGGAGCATCAGGCAGAAGGCAGGGGTGGGCACAGTTCAGAGAAGGATGCCTTCGGTGGGAGGCCAACTCAAACATGTACTGGGCCCTGTTCTTTAGCCTTATCAGCCAGTAGCTACTTCTCAGTCTTCTGTTATTCTCTGTGAAGGGAACAAAAAGATAAAGCAAGTTCCAGATATCAAAGAGCTCACACTCTGTCTAGGGCAAACATCACACATGACATGAACTACTGGAGAACTTCATAGCTGACGGGAAAAGGGTAGATTGTGCACTACAGACCTCAGAAAAATCTTGGAGGAAAGGAAGAAATTGGCAAGGATGGGAGAAGTCAGGAAAGATTTACAGAGAAAATGAAAGGGGTCTTGATGGGTGAGTAGGCACTCGGTAAGCAGATAGGAGGGGGGCAGGACAGTGAATGCAGGATGGTAAGAATGCACATGATTGGCATACAGGCAGGAGTGAAGAGGGAGCTCAGCCATGGCCAAATACATTTCTTTTTTTC